AATTCACCATCACGCCTATACGTTCCTGGCCCATGTCCCTTGAGTGCAGAGACTCTGAGGTACAGACTGAGGTGCAACCAATTTAATTGGGAGGCGATTCAGGAAGCAGAGAGAGGTAGTAGCAAGTGAGGCAGGAAAGTGATTAAAAAAAATTATAAAGATTTATTTATTTTAGAGCGTGAGTGCATGAGTGGGGGGAAGGGCTGAGGGAGAGGGAAAGAGAAAATCCCAAGCAGACCCCCCAGTAGCCTGGAGCCAGACTCCAGCTCATCTCATGACCCTGAGATCATGACCTGAGCCGGAACAAAGAGTGGGATGCTTAAATGACTGAGCTACCCAGGCGCCCCTGGAAAGTGAGGTTAAAGTATTGATGCATACACACCTTAATACTGGTCAATTTGTTTTGCTTTTTTGCAAGGCAAGACTTACACCTCTCTTAATGTTTTGCGATAATATTTATAACGATTAATGCTACTTAGCTGATCTTGTTGATACTTCATGACTTTCTTAACATTTTCCAGATGTGGGTTTTTCATGAACAACCAGAATCTTTTTTTTATTATTATTATGTTATGTTAATCACCATACATTATATCATTAGTTTTTGATGTAGTGTTCCATGATTCATTGTTTGCATATAACACCCACTGCTCCATGCAGAACGTACCCTCTTTAATACCCATCACCAGCCTAACCCATCCTCCCACCCCCCCCAGAACCCTCAGTTTGTTTTTCGGAGTCCATCATCTCTCATGGTTTGTCTCCCCCTCTGACTTACTCCCCTTCATTCTTCCCTTCCTGCTATCTTCTTCTTCTTTTTTTTTTAACATATATTGTATTGTTTGTTTCAGAGGTACAGGTCTGTGATTCAACAATCTTACACAATTCACAGCACTCACCATAGCACATACCCTCCCCAATGTCTATCACCCAGCCCCCACCACTCCAGCAACCCTCAGTTTGTGTCCTGAGATTAAGAATTCCTCATATCAGTGAGGTCATATGATACATGTCTTTCTCTGATTGACTTATTTTGCTCAGCATAACACCCTCCAGTTCCATCCATGAGAATCTTGACAACTGAAATAGGAATAGCAACAATAATTTTCTCATACATATTGAAAGGATTCAATAAATGGTCCAGATAAACGACTCAGTACAAAATACCGTGCACCTAAAGTGTACTCAATAAATACAAGACCCTGAATTGAGTAACACGCCAAAGGTATGAACATCCTATATGTTATCGCTCATGTATATTATAAAATTGCCCCCAAATTTCATATCAATATACAGGAGCAAAGAATGATGTCAGTTTTACCCTTAGCTATTTTCCTTTTTTAAAAAATGTGTTTTTAACTAATTATTTCACAATAGCTTTAATTTTAGGGTCTGATAACAAGAGAGGTTAAACCTTTGCCTGAGTTTAGAATTTCTTTCTGAAATTCATTCTTGCTTAAATTATCATTTACAATCTTTTTTTATCAATCTTTGTGTATTGTTCTTAAAAATGTGAGTAGAATAAAGTATAGATGACACCCTTGGTTATGTTGCAAATATTTTTTGTCTTGTTTTTTATTTTGAATTTTTTTATAGATTTGAAAAGAATTTCTTTATATAGGTAGTTTCATTTATTGTAATGTTTCTTTTGTTTTAATAACATACTTTCTGTTTAGTTAATACATTGTATGGTAATACAGTGTATTCTGCTAATTTACCTATTATTTTATACATTCAAATATTTTAATTAATGCAATTAATATATATTTTCTATTAGGCTGTTTCTAAGTGATTTTTTCAAATTTCCCTTTTCCTAGTCACTTTATTAATACACTCTTCTCCCATCACTGATGATGATCATTTTATCATATCCTGAATCCTCCTATGTATTTGGGTCCTCATAACACCCTGTATTATGAGGAGAGAGGTTCCCATTCCTACTTAGCAAAGTCTTTATCATTAAGTGATATTTTAGAAGAAGGCAATTTAATATCTTTTGCAGTCATACTGGAAGTTCACAACTAATATGATTTCCAAAATTAATAAGTTAAGATTAAATAAATTTTCCAAGGCCAAATGGGCTTGGGAAGATGTTTACTCAGTTGTTTTATCTATATAATTATTCTACTGATATTTTTATAAATCTAATAATAAAACAGTGTCTTTTTAAAAATATTTGCCAATCTAATATAGTAGTTATGTTACCCTTCCTTAAATGCTTTTATGTGTACAGATGAGTAAAATGTTACAGTTTAGAAAAAAATTCTCATACAAAAACAGGAAAGAAAATAAAGCATTAAAATATTCTATTGGAGAAATAGTTGAGGCACCATTGCAGTTGATTTTAAATATCCCTCCACACACAAATATACACGCACAAATATACCCACACAAATATACACGCACAAATATACACACACACAAATATACACACACACAAATATATACACACACAAATATTTTTACCATGCTCTGTACTAAAGGCAGTTTTCTGTGGTTTAAGTTTTTTATCCAGTGAGTGGCATAAAGTACTTTTTGTTTTATGTGCTTAATTCTGAATTCTCCAAGATTTCAATTAGATTATCTAAACAGCATTTTGTAACATTTTGTGTGAAATGTTGCATTAAGAAATCATAATACATCCTGCATGTATTTAGCCTGACATAATTAACTGTCATACATTTTTTAAATATCCTATGGGCGTTAAAATGTCTATCAGAGAAAATACAATGGCGATTGCAGGTTTAGGATATATATATATTTTTTTCTTTCTGCCAATTTCTTTTATCTTTTTCTCTTTATTTCCATTTTCTATTCTTTGTCTTCCTCATATCATCTCCTATTTACAGCAAAGTTGCCATAAAATTGTACCACTTGTCCACTCCCATAATGGGCCCACCAGTCCTCTGGGATTAGTGTGTGTGGTCCTCACTCTTCAGCCCCTTGCAGTCTGGTCCTCCATGTTCAGCTCAAGCCATCACCTGAAGTCCTAGGAAAATCTACATACTTCCTGTCTAAGCTTTGAGGCTCATTTCATCAAAAATGAGATGTAGAGGGGACAATGGAGGTTCTTCATTTCCCCACTGTCATGTTACATGGGAAAAGGGATGTATCCCTGAGACAGAAGGTCATGTGACTGGGACTTAGGGTAGGCACCAACACCACTCCATCAGCTGTTGAGATATTAAAATATCCCCATGGCAGTTAATATATATCCACTTCCTGGAGTCCCTGCATCAACCATGTCACCCCAGCTTCTTAGGCACTTTCTACAGGTCATCAGACTTTCCAACAGGCAAACAACTTAGAGGGATAGAGGCACAGAGAGAGGCTCCAGAGCCGGGCTGCAGAGTCTCTGCTGACACCCATTGTTGCTGGCTGGTGCCAGCCTGTGCGTGCTCTTGTCAGACAGGTGCACTATCACCCCTGTCTGGGGAAGGTTGCCAATGTACTTTCCCAGAAGAAACCAGCGTGCTTCTTTCTATTCACTCTCATTCTATATTTCTGTTGTGTTATATGTATAAACACACCTGTTTGAATGTCTTTTAAATCATAAACAGCACTTCAGTGCTTAGGATATCATTTCAAAAATCTAGTATGATTTAAGTTTTTCCTTCCTCTATCACTTTGGAAGGGGGGCTGTTCACCGAGTTGAATTACAAAGCATTTATGCAATCTCGACTGTGGTAGTTAAAGTAATGCCTTTCATTTCATCAGCCAGTCATAGCACTGGATTTGATAACCTTTAAATCTACTCATTTATGATATTTTATCTTTTTTATATAAGAATGCTATGACGATTTTGCATTATATTGGGGTGACTTTTGCAGCATGTGATACAATTAGAGAAATAAAATCAATGTATTAAATAGAGTTACACTATGTGTCTTAATGATCATACATGTATATATGATATGTTCACATGTGAAAAGCTATATTACTAGCGAGATGTCAGTATATGTAAGTGAATACTATGTTTGCATTCTCAGTTGTTTTATTAGTAGTCAATGTAAATATCTGTGCCCCTTGATCGTGTGCAGTCACAGAAGTTGCTAAAGGCAAACTCCCCCAACTTGGTGACAGGCTGACTTCATACATCACTCCTATTGCAGCACCAACACCCATAAATGTTAAATATGCTCTTAGGGTAGAAATTATCTGATGGGAAAGGAGGGGAGGAAAGAAAGAAGGGTACCCATAGACAGGTTTTAAAAGAAGTGTTTTACAAACACTTATTTATCCTCTGTTACAGTTTCCTATGTACATAGCATTTTGTAATAGAGGATATAAATTCAATAACATGTATATTTTACCCTACAGAAAACCTTACAAGATCTGTTTCTCCTCAAACCAACATTTTAATGTTAATTTATATCTTAAATGCATTTTGTCATCCCTGACCTTTTACTTGCCACTTTCCAAGTTATTCCACTTTTCTCATGCAACTATTTCCTACTCAGAAGGTTTTTATGAATTGGTGTGTCTGTGTTATCATATTAGTCAAGAACTTATCTGAAATTCAGAACCAAATACACATTCCAAACTCTATAGAAAAATAAAAAATAAGGTGATGACTACTTTTAAGAGCACTGTATTTTCAAAGCCAGGTACCAGTGAATTAATAAAAGATTGCTACATACTTTTAAATCTCAAAATGTTTCTGAATTATCTCCATCTTGTAAGAGTCAGAGAAAATCTTTGAAAATTGTTAAGCTGTCTGTGAATGTCAGGTGTATGGCAATACACAGCCCAGATATTAGAAAAGCCACAATTTTTTCTCTCCTATAGTGAGAATTCAGTTAATAATGCAGTGTAATTATTTAGAATTTTGTAAGTTTTTCCATAGAACTAAATTAATAAATCAGAAGAAGCCTCTGTCATAGAGTATCAATTTCGAGTTCAGAAAATACTGGTCACTGATCAAGAGGGATACTCTGTAGATGCACTTGTGTATGAGGCTGTCTGGAAACCTGATTGCCTTTTGTTTCTGCTCCTGCCAGCTGAGGGAGCCTGCGGAGGGACCCTGCGGGGAACCAGCAGCACCATCTCCAGCCCCCACTTCCCCTCGGAGTATGGGAACAATGCCGACTGCACCTGGACCATCCTGGCCGAGCCGGGGGATACCATCGCCTTAGTCTTCACTGACTTTCAACTAGAGGAAGGGTACGATTTCTTAGAGATCAGTGGAACAGAAGCACCATCCATATGGTAAGTTCTGGGGAAGAAATGTGTTTACCCCAGATCCAACAATAGGCTTTATAAGATGGCTTTCTTTGGACATTCACTGGCAAACGTAAGTGTTCTTTTCTTGCTTTGCTATTTTGACCACTAACAAGGTCATTTATATTGTGACTGATTTCAAAGTGTCCAAGATGTTTTTGCGCTGGTCTTTGGAGCTGGAGAAGTTATCAGCATATGGGCATGGGCACTTAACATGCCCTTGTTCTGGACTCTTGTAAAGCAACTCAGAGATGGGTAACTAAGCTAGCTAAGTTAGTTTTCAGATTTGTTCTGGAGCTGATTCAATGTAAGCAGATATTTTTAGACTGTGGCCATTTGAAAATGTTATGTTACCAATCATGTATCTACTCTGCTGCAGATACACAGGATAGCATATTAATTTTCCTTCCTGAAGATGCTGTACCTGTGAGGGCCAGAGGCAAACCATAAATACTGATCCAACATAGATAAAAAATTAGTCGACTGAGGATCGCTTCTCTGGTGTGTGTGCTGGTGGAGACCGAAGAAGAGGGGGTCTAATCAGTTACAGTGGATTTAGATCTATCTCTTGGTCACAAGAGCAGCATTAATTGTGTCTGTAAGTGCAGTTGAAGAGGGAGAATTCAAAGAATCGTTGTTTGAGGACTTTATGTCTCAGATTAAGTTATTTGTTGTGAATTGAACTGGCTTTGTTTTAATTATTTCACTTCTTAGTATTTTAAAAACCCTACCAGTTCTCTGCTTCAGATCTTGAATGGTAAGCTAACTTGAATATACGTGTATTTAAATTAGGGTGTAATTTAGAGGAGATGTTGGCCATATGTGCATTGGTAGAGGAGAATATGAGATGAGTGATTGTGAATATTTCAGTGGGTTTAAGTTTGCATTTCAGGATAAAGGATAAAAAATATCAACTCTGAAACATGTTATAAAATTAGACCACCTATTTTTACCAATTATTGAAATGGAAATTTACTTTCTAAGGCTCAAGACACAAAGCAGAGGTTCATATTAATGGGTAAAATACTTACTTTAGTTATGCTGTGATTATATTAGATGTTACCTCAATTAAGAGAAAAATAGTCACTGCCTCTGATCTTTGCTTTACATTTGATTCATCTGAAACAATACTCTTAGACTGAGCAAGTTTACCTGTTTGTTTACTTTGTGCTATGCAATTTTAAACACTCAAGAATTTGTTGATAGTATCTGACTCATTTTGTGTAATATCAGAGTTAATGGAAACAAGTTGTGAACCTAAACCTGGATGTCCTGAGTTCTCCTCCAAGTTCTGCCAAGTTCTGCCTTGTGACCTTGAACAAATCACATAATGGTTTATATAACTTAGGGGAGCTACTAAATCAACTTTTAAGTTCATTCATTAAATATGAATTGAGTGCATATTCTCTGTTAATCACTATAAGAGATTCAGGGATGTAACATTCTAGTTTTAAAATTACATTGTTTTGGTTTTCAGAAATCCATTGCAATATAAAATATATGGTGACTGATTCTCAGAAACTATATGATCAATGGAAAAGGTCTTATTTATGAGAGATTCTAGAGATTGTGGGCATGGACCAACAACATTGCTGCTGAAATGTGAGGCTAGGAAAGAGAGGAAAAAAGTGAGGCATCTTTGACAATGATTTTAGAATTCACAGTCAGGACAGCTTTTGCCAAACAGATTTCGTTTATGTAAGAGAGGAAACGTGGAGGTGCAGATGTCCGTGTCAAGGTCTGAAATAAAAATAGGGCATGTGAAATCAGGAGATACAACTCTCCAAAAGGGCTTCTGGCCCCTACAAACACATTGTGGCTTACCCCTGAAAGGCAAAAGCTCGTTCATTTCATTTGTTTCCATAAAAATGGCAGTAGGAGCTGAAGGATGTTGTATGACTCATCGCTCATTTCTTCTTTGCTTATCCCTATTGATTTCTCTCACACCCTCTTCTCCTCTCTGCCTAATCTCTGTGTGTTCCCCTGATACTTGTCCCCAGCTACTTCAATATCAGACCCAGAAAAGTGTGTGAGGATGGGGTCACAGGTGAGCTAAAACTGATTTCTGTTTGAAATGTCAAGTGAATCTACTGACTCCTGTGGAGCCTGAGAACAATTCCTAATCATTGCCAGAGTGAGCATTGCATGGCGGCCGGGAGATCGGCCCATTCTCTTGGTGTCTGGATTAAGGCTAGAAAACATTTTCCAGCTGTCTGAAATATATCTAGGTATTTGCCAGGGCACCAAATTGATGATCTGTGAACAAATTGGGGGGAAAAAAAATGGCAGAGTTTGGGAAAGTTCTTGGTGGGAACTTTGACCCTGTCTGTGTTTCTTCCAGTCTGATAAATGGGGTGGCCCACTGGCTCAACATGCTCTTTCTCTCAGTGGTTATTATTAGAGAGTTGTGTTCATAACTCTATTCATATGATGACTTGGCTTGGCACAAGAGCCCTGGGGGGTACTTGTTAGCATTATTTAGCTTTTATTGATGAAGAAGCTGAGAGCAAAGCTCAAAGAGCACATGGCAGAGCTAGAACTCAAGCTCAAGCCCTCTGACTCCAAATTACATTTCCTTTTCACTCCACTGCAATCCCCGCAATAGGACAATGCAGGTCTGGACTTAATGCTCTGTTGCAAAATCACCTTTTCTCTATTTCAGGACTGTAGGTTGTATCCTAAAGCCTTGAACAGGTTACTACACCAGGGACAAGAACCAACTGAGAGGCAATTTCACACTCGTGCTGCATCAATAGAGAGTCAGGGCAGACAGAGCGTTTGGGGGTGACATTTGGCATTTATCATAATTATAAAAGAACTACCTTGACATGGCCGTGGGAGCACTCTTAAATGGAGCTCTCATCTTTCAATTACTTCTCAGTGGAGGCTACAGAGGAGTACATGGTTTTCCTAAATCACTATTGAAACATACACGAGCACATTTAGAGTACAAAAGAGTCACTTGAAGTACCCTTCTAAGATTTATACAAATGCATAATATGGCTTATCTTAAAAAAAGACTATTATTTTATTATAATTTTGGGCTGTCAGTCTCTGAAATGTTTAATGGTTCAGATTGGCATATTTAAAATTTATTATCCCTCCAGTTGAAGGAAGATCCTAAGGACAGTGTAGGTGTGTGTGCCCCCCTTGAGCGCAAGGTCACGAAGCAGACAGTCAGTGTGGAAGGCTGAATGTGCAGTACACCAACACACATAATTTTCCAATCATCTGTTTTTAAAAGACATAAAATACCAGCAAGGGCACTCTCAGAAGAAGCTACTTGGAAAATTGTTAAGAACAATAATAGGATTAGCCTTATTTTCATTGAATTTGGAGTGAAATTACCAACTCAGCTATGTTTTATGTAAGGGTTGCCATGACTACCGTGGAGCAGTCTAAATGTGGTGAGTGATGTAATGTGCCCAAATTATCCATATATTAAATGTGGAGGGGCATGGGATTTAAACCTAATTCACTACACACACACATATGTATATATGTAAGATAGGGCTGATTTATTTATTTATTTATTATTATTATTTTATTTTTTTACTAGTCGGATTCTAATTTTATACAGGCTGGTTTCCTATCAATATCCTACTTTAACAGAGAGCTGCCATTTCTAATTCTCTTTGCAACATGGTCTAGTAATTATGATTTTTTTTTTTTTGCAATTAAAAACGTGGTTAACACTGAAGGTTGCCAAGTATTCTTTCTTTCTGAAGTGATTTGATGGTGTGGCATATAGCTCCTAACTCTGGAAACATCAAGAAGAAAGAAAATTGATATTATTTCGGAGTTAACCTACAGTGGTTTCTAAATTAAGACGTGGTGGTTAAAGGGACTAGAAACAGACAGTCTCGACAGGAGACAACTAATAGAGTATTTACTATCTTTTAAGTATGCACTCGTATAATGAGAAGAATTTATTCATCCCCATGTGTGACAGGTAGCCTGCATAGGGTAGAGGAGGAAAGAAAAGAAAGAATAGTAAACCCATTTAAGAAGCTTCCCAAAACATGGTGAAATGCATCTGTTCCTCCAAAATCTTCAATGACTGAGCCTCAGGCCATCAGATTAAAACCCCCAAGCCTTAGCGCACCGTTCAAGGCTTGACATAGCCCTTGCAGCCTGCCCTCCGTCCTGCCATGCCCCACCCCTGCACCCTGCAGTCTGCCTCTCTGAACACATCCCTGTTTCACATTAGCACATATTTGCGTCCCGGCACATGTGCTCAGGTACACGCCTCTGCACGGAAATCCCACACCAACCAATTGAATCGACATTCAATTAACCTAATGCTTGGACCACCGTATGGATGGCCTGCCACTTAAAGGATTCCTACTAGTGGAACAGTCTGTGCGATCTCCTCCCCTGGAAGATGTCCTTGGTGATCAATGCAAGGATGCTCTGGGCTGCTTTGGATTAGACCTGCCTCGTTTTATCAATAGAACATCTGTTACTTTATGATTCTTTTAAGGTTTCAGTTCAATTATTCACTAACCAGTATATCTCTACCCCTTTGTCTGTCTGATTTGTGCAAGATTACTCTTGAGGGGACCAAAAAAAAAATTTGTAACTGCACTTTATTTGGTTCCCATTAATGAAGCATAATCTCACTATTAAATCAATCTAATCAGTGACTTGCTGAAGCCAAAACAAAACTTCAAAGAAATTGGAGAAGCTGAGTGAATTTCAAAGAACCCTTGAAGGGTCAATTAACACCTAAAATGTTTATCCAACTTGTCACTTAATTGAGAAGTGACTTGGTGCATATTTAATTTCTAATGAGGAAGGATTACGGAGTCATACACAGAGTGACAGATTCCCTGGAAGGATTCTTCCACTCCCCCTGCCCAAGGTAGAAGAAAAGGAAGGAACTTTCCCCTCTCCTTATTTTATTTTTTAACTGTTCATTTTGAAATCATTTTACAGAGAATTTGCAAAGCTAGCTCAGAGAGTCGCTGTATACCTGAACCCAGCAT